GTTAAAACCAGTTACATCAGGGTTTTCCTGGTTAGCAGCAGAACAGCTTGGCATATCCAGATACGGGCCTCTCTGCATGTTGTTCAGACCCGGGTTTCTGTGACCTGTCTCCTGTCAATAAAAACGATGTGAAAACCAGCAGTTGGCAGTTTGCAAGATTCGGTGTCTTGTGAAGTCGTTCCCTTAGATATTTTGTTCCCGAAGTCGTGTGTCAATCGCCGTGTTGCGGTTTCTGAGATTGTGTTGTTGTTTTTCCCCCTGTCTGTTTCCCTTCTCTGCCTGTTACCCCGTAGTCCTTGGGAGAACAATGAGTTAAGTCTTTCCCCCCGAACTCAACACACCCTTGCCTTATCTTACAACACGCCTATGTGATTTTATATACTTCTTTCATTCTATAAATGTATCATTAGTCTGAATAGACAAAATTTAAATATTTGATAAGTTCCCATTTGACATTCCTACCCAAGCAGGATTATTCTTGTTTATTTTTTGTGCCAAGTTGAAATAATCACTTATGGAGATGATTGATTTTTTTTTTATTTCTACATTTACTGTGCGCCTATTCTTTATTTATCTTGGACTTTAACTAATTACATTTTAAAGTAATATTTTGATTCAGTATTAAAAATGACTCGGAATTGATCATTTAGTTTTCTATTCCCTAGCCCTATCCATGTCTATATATGTGCCATTCTCTCGAATTGTCTTCTAAAATGTTTACTTCATTTACTTCTTCTTGTGCATTCTTGATTTCAGTCCAATTTGCTGAGTTCACTTCGTCACTTTAAGAAATGTACGATGTACTTAGCAAGTGAAACTGAAGAAGTATTTATAATTTAATTAAATTTTTGTTGCAGAGTCTGTTCTCAAATATTTGTCTGATTCCTCTGAGATATTCTTAGCTGATCTTTCTTTCATCTTCTCCTTGAAGCTATCAACTTCCATAATGTCTAGGTATGTGTATCCTACACTTTGCCAGAAACTCCTGATGGTTCCAAAGTTGGAGTGTTCCATTCCGTCTTTTGATTCGCATTTTCTCTCATTATTAACAGCATTGAAAAGCCAAATTCATTTTCTCCGTTGAATCTGATCGTTTGTATAAAACTTCCAATTTCTATTGGATCTTGAAAAATCTTTTAAGTTAATCCATATAAATGAGTTCATTTATTTTTCGTATGAGATTGTGCTTCTTTAATCATAGTTGCGTTTATTAATTATATATTTGAATTATTAGTATTATTAATTGAGATCCTCTCTCTCTCTCTCTCTCTCTCTCTCTCTCTCTCTCTCTCTCTATTAGATGATTTGACCAGTTGATGAAGGTCATATCTCACTTCTTACCCGCAATTTACAGGCACAATGCTTTCCTTAGAACATGAGCTGTGTTAATCGACGTTGCCACATGTCATGGCTGCTCGTGCAATATCAACGCCATACCTCAACTACTAGCGGTCGGGATTTATTATCATTATTATTATTATTATTATTTGATGGGATATCCTCTCCGACTCTTAAATATTTCGACCGGGTGGTAATGGTGATATCTTAGCTCCTATCCGCAGCTTAGAGGCATTTGCTTGGTTTTCTGTTGTATAAACATTTCATTCCGAGACCCAACCAGAGACCTAAGTACAGAAATGGCTTCATGACATTTTCTATTAATCATTAAAGAAAAAGAAATACATATTTTACATAGATAAAGACCTTCTTAAGGTGCGAGCTAAACTTGTCAGTATAATGTTTTGTATTTTTCAAGACATGGACTACCAGGAATCGATTCAATGAGTCTATCGAAACATTTTCCAATCAATTCGAGGAATCCAGCAACAACTAAAATTGTTTATATCCACACGTGCCACATTTAGGAGACTTCGATTTCAAGGTCTTTCTACTTTGATAGTTTTTTTGAAGATCTTCAAAGATATATTAAAATCCGAATGAATTGACATGTGAATAAGAAGGCTTATTCTGTTTATGTGGTCTCTGATTACGATGTCTAGGCGATTAGCATTGATTGTTCTCTGTGTATTGTAAATTCTCATAAAATTATTACAGGTTTCATCTCTCTAAACGGGTCTGGGTGATGTTCTTACCAGTTTCCTTCAGTTTCATTCACGTAAAAGTTGCATGTTTTCCAGCCCATACTATCATGCCGAATTGTATATTCAGTCGGTGCTCAATTGTTTCGGGATATTTATCACAATTTTTTTTATCACAATTATTTTGAGTCAGCACAATGTTTCACTAGGTGTACTTGGTAATTTCTAATTTGTAGGCATTGGTCCTGTACAGCAAGAATATAATCTTTAGTTTCAGCTTTTAATCATGCTTGCCTAAACACTGATGGATACGGGGTTTGTCTACTTCAGCTTATTTGGTATTGGTTGAATATTGAATATAAAGAGTCTTATCTTGAAATCGATTCTGCATTTGTTACATTGCATATACATATGCTTTCTTTTTGAGCTCCTTTGACATTGCAAACAAGTGCATTATGGTTTACTCACACTTCTTCAAACACATGAAATTGCATTTTGAATTTGTTGGCTTCAGTTATTACTTAATAAAGTTTATTATTTCTTTCATGTGCTTTGACACAAATAATCATCCAATCTTCTGTAGTTCCCAGATATGGTTGAAGACACATTGTTGTAGTTTTGTAAGACATTTTTAGATGAATTAATCTTCTGCCTCCTTCGGATCTGAGATAATACAAACAATCAACATCATCGGTAGGGTGATGCATGCGTTGGTATATAAGAAGCTTTCATATTTTTATATCCAATTGCTTAATGTCAGCTCTGATCTAATTAAGGATGTTGAAACTGTACTGCACCACAAATACAACCAATGTGTTTATAGCTTATCAAGTGATGATGTTGAATGTTGAGGCATTCAACATCATCACTTGATAAGACACCGAAGGTGTTGAAACAAAATGGATATTTTTGTAGTGATTTTATAACATATTTATGTTATAAATAAATAATTATATATATATATATATATATATATATATATATACTCTCGTTCGTCAATTGAGTACTATGGAGAAAAGAGTATTTTACTGGTTTCTGCCGCTTTATTGCATCGCTCGTCGGATTTCAAAGCCGGCTTGAAGCAATCGTATGTCTAGCCACAGTGATCAACTGTAATACAGTGAAACAGTCTGTCTGTGGATGACTATATAGATATACAGGTAAATATAATATTGGACACTGAGGTCAAAATCTAATAGCAATAGTCTCTTTCACGCAATGTAGTAGCTCCACGATATATATATATATATATATATATATATATATATATATTTGCAAGTACCTGATGAAGGCCCAACAGCCGAAGCGGTGTAATAACAACAACTATGAAAGAAAATAGCCCGAAAGTAAATAGTGTAAATAATGATAACTCCTGATCACAGAAACGTGAACAAATATTGAAATGTTATGTATACGATGTCGAAGCTACAACGACAAATTTATGAAGTTGTTTACAACCACACTAAAAATATAGAAAGCAAAATATTTATTTGGAATAAAAATTATTTTGAAAATATATGAGTATTTTTTGTAAGAGCGAGAGAACTCTAATCATACAAAGCAAATAACTTAGTAGAAATGCAGTCATTGTTAGTTTTATTACTGCTTTCATATTTTTCTGACATTCTATATAATAAATGCCAATGTCATTGTTTCACTGTGTGAAACTTTTCAATTAAAAGTACAAAACGTTGTAACTTTCTATATCTCATCTTCTTCTATATGATAAATGCAAATGTCAATGTGTCACTGTGTCACAGTTTTTATGACTTGGAAATAATCGAAATTAATTGCGAAATCCGGCGAAAGTCACCCATGAATTATTAATATTTGTTTTTACGAAAAGTAAGGACCTACGTACATCAAATTTTCTTTAAATTAAGTGGCAGCAGAATAATCATTGCTGAACTTTTAAAAAGTGAGCTTAAATATTAACGCAATACTTAAATCTAGCGATCAATTTTGACTTTCGTAGTTTATTGTTGCCTATCACATCTATTCCTCCCTACCTAATGTGATGAAGGCGCAATCAAGAGCTCTCCACAGAATCTAGCTTAAATTCCGCCAGATAGGCGGCTTTTAAGTCAGTTGTTAATATTTTAAAAATAATTCGTCGAATATGGAAAGAAAAATCAAAGATTTGAATAATAATCAAAATGGCCGTCTTCGAATGCGTAAAATGAAGAGAGTTGAATAAATATTTCAATCTCGTTGTAAACTTCATTTGAAAATGCCAAAGAGGAAATCTTTTTTATATCTTACCCATTTTATTTATCTTTTTGCAAGTAACGGACATTGTTATCATTTAGTTCTGGCAAATAAAATGAGAAGTGTTTCCCTTCGGAAAAAAATATGATTCGAATTTATCCAAACGAAAGTACAGTTACCAAGCGGGAAATCAGAAATATCTATTTTCCTCAACAGATGATAGCATCGACTAAAACTAAGCTAATATTTGCTTTACATTGTCAGAGAAAAACTGCAACACACTCGAGTCATTTACAGATACTTCACAAAAATATATTTGCAATAAATTACACCTGTTATTTATTTATTGCACTGATATATTTATCCGTATACACCTGAGCACCTGTAAAGCCGGTAGGTAGCAGAATCCTCTTGCAGAACTTTACAGGAAACTCCTCTCTCTTTCTCGTACTCTCTCTCTCTTTCTCTTTCTTTCTTGAACCCCCCCCCATCTTTCATCCTTACTCTACCTGTCTAGTTGTTGTGACCTTACATCCAAATAATGCTTAGTAAATATACTTTGTTTTTAGACCGTTAATTTATATATTTTAATGTATTCAATGATTTCTTTTCCCGTATAATATAATATTACTACAACAATATAAGAATTCTATGGTTGATGAGTGGTTTTTGGTGAGGAAAAGTACATTCCTTTATACGTTTTTCATTTCGTTATTTAAACATCATTTCCCATTTCCTACCGATTAACACGGTTTACGACCATATCACGTTGAAATACCGGTTCTCGTACGATCACCGAAGTTAAACAACGACGAGCCTGGTCAGTTTCCTGATAGGTGAGCACTTGGGAATAGCAAGTGCTGTAAGATTCGGTTATGCGGTTGATGTAATGGCGAACAGCTCGGAATTGGAAACAAAGGGAGAGTCGAGTTCCAATTCCCGCCAGGTTCATTGCATTCACTTACGCGCAAATACCCTTGAGAAAAATATAAATCCTCCTCTTCCCCCGCCTCAGATTTGGGTTACATTAATAGAATATGTATCAGTAAATCAATATCTCAAAAAAATTTTTACAATTTAAAAATATATAAAAGGTTGATAATTTGTAAATCAAGTCACTTAAGACTTACTGATTAACACATTCAGATACTTGTAAAATCTGAATTACCTCTTATGAAAATATAAATAACGTTTTACTACTTACAAAATGCTCGGAAAACTGGTTTTCAATTATCAGTATTTTTCAGAAAACAGCGCTAGATACATTTCGCATTCACGTTTTATATAAGGTGGACTATGACTTTTTGCTATAAGTAAAATGCAATCCACTACAGTGATTTTTTTTATCCATATGGATAATGAAATACAAATATATATAAAAATATTGCGCTGGCATTTTAAAATACAAAGAGAATGTCAGTCAAATAGATCGATTATAAATGAACTTGTTCTATAAAATTTAAATTTTCAATCAGAGCTGCCAACAACTAGTTTTAAAATCCATAAAAATGCAAACCTCATGTAAACGTGGATATAAATGAAAATCTTCTCCAAACAAAGGAACAATAAGTAGCGACAATCTCGGTGATACACTGAAAACTCGTCCTTATGAGAATTGAGCGAGATTTGAAGAGTCTCTTAGAAAAGCGTAATTGGTCAGGAGATGTTTGTTAAATTTCGGAGTATCATATAATAATTGTGCTCGTCCATTCATTAGTGCGCGCGATCGTTACGCCCAGCAAATACCTCATACGTAATGGACTATTCCAATTTGATCGCGTGGAAAGAGAGGAAAAGATACTATTTTGGCATGAAAGAAAGAAAGACAGATGTGCTTAACATCTCCTGCCAATACCTCATAAATAATGGAATATTCGGTTTTGATTGCGTGGAAAAACAAAGTGAGAAAATGCATGAAAGAAAGAAAGAAAGAAGGAAAGGAAGACGGAAGTGTTTAACTTTTGTTTCATTGAAATGGAAAAAGTTGTCAGTATCAAATCTTTTCATTTGTACCCACTTAAAATAACAACCAGCATTCATATTTGTTATTGCCGTCTTTTGTTAAAGTTGGTAAGCTCAAATATTTAGCGTGTCATAGCGGAATTTCTCGGGATATTTTATTGCCATAGAGCTCGCTATGTGCTTATTTAATCATTAACTTAAATTTCAAATAAGAAATCGTGAAATTTTCACTGGTCTAAATGTTACCTCACGAAGCGTCTCACCTCCGACATTGTTTTATTTGGAGAAGCAGTATGTCTGCAGTCTAATAACAAGAGAAAAAGTATTTATTTTACACGTAAAAATATATGTTTCAGTGCAATATCTTTCTTATTTTAGTATTTCATATTAATTGTCAATATTCTAGTATTGTTTCGAACTATGGTTGATATAGATGTTATTATAGACACAAAAATATCACAATAATCAAAAGTTATCCGATATCAATGGAAACCTGATCACGACAAATGTGCACGTGGTCGTAACGGTGTGTCTTGTGTCTATATATGTGTTCACCAAGATGAGAATAATAGTCGAAATGATACAAGAAAACAATCCTCCTCCTTGTCGATGTACCTGGCGAATATCAAAAATACAAGTCAAACATTAAACAGTAAAAAATTTAGATCAAAATTTAATTAATGACTACATATACTACTGCAGATGTATTAAACCCAGATTATTTAATATTCTTTCAAAAGAATGTCAGCATTTCCATTTAAATGTGTTATATATGAAAGACATAACAATATTTAATTTACTTTGGTGAAGAAAAGACACTATCCAACTCTAGCCCTGAAATCAAGCTAAATAAAAGAAATAAACATAAAACAATCATTTAAATGATTTTATAAATAAGTAGCTAGTATTAAAAAAAAGTTTGACATTTTAACAGCAGTCCTACACACGCAGACACATACACACGAATCCACACACATGTGCCCGTATGTCCGTAGGTGACTCAAAGGAACCACTTCACATCTGCACGCTTTTCTATATATAGAACCAAAGGACAACGTGTATGATCTTCGAGTTTAGCCTTATGCACTGTCACGTGATTCTTTTGACATGCTCCTGACCCACGTATTTTGGCACAAAACTGACATACATTTCCCGTAAATCATTTTGGGTGGCTATCATCAGAAACTACTTGGGTCTGTTTACTGTCACGAAAGTTAGGATGAATAGCAAATAGGAATTTGGATAAGAAAACCCTACCACAGATGCTACATGTCCGCTCAAACTGAAGATTATCTGTAACAAAGATCATGTCCTGCAATCTAAAAGTGCCTTTCAAGATTTCATGATCAACAATCATTTACCATCATTCGCCATAAATATCGATTTTCTGTCAAGTTTTCCACACCCTCGTCATCTATACTAAGAGATTTAATATTGTTTTAAATATTATCTTTAAAACGATTTTTGGATTGAGTTTATCATTAGATATCCCTCCCTAAAACAGCTCCTTAGCAAATCTGTTATCACGCAATTTTGTAAGGTGGTCATTACAATTGCTATAAAAATTTTCCGAATGTTTTATATATATGAGCGCTTTCGGCTATACCTTTAACCATTATCAAGGATGAATTTTATTTTACTCTTAACTATATGTATTTTATTTAACTCTTAAGTATATGTATTGTTTTATGTATTTATCTAGAGATATAGGAATGTTTTATTTTTCAAACACGGTCAGCATATTGTAACCGTGTTCATAGTTGATGTTATTGAGTTTTGGCTTTTTTTCTTTATTAATAATGCTTCCATCTTATCCTTTTTGTACATGTGGATGAGACTATTATATTTGTATTATCAACGAGTATGTTACGGATAGAGTTTAGTAGGTCCCCATGTATATCTAAATGAAACCCTATTGAGCTATTGTCAGGGATATATAACATGAGTCTTTCTGTTAGGCATGTTGTAGTATATCCAATATAATTATTTACAAATTTGGATTGGACAGGAACACAGTTCCTTAAATTACCTGTAAATTCGTAAATATTATTTTGGTCCTCTGTAATTTGGAACTTGCAGGTGGATTATTATTTTGACAATTTTTAGCGGTTTTATATTTGTTATAATAAATAATCTTTTTAATTTCCTTGTTTCTTTACAACTGAAATTGTGTACCTCTTGATGATATTTCTAAGTGAAGATTCATCTGGCTTATAGTAACTATGCATTTGATTTTTTTTAGAAAATGTTAATGTTATTTTTTTACCTATGTCTTCAGTGTCGCTTCTGGTACCTTAGAAAGGAAGAATTTAATATGGTAATCTATCAAATGGTTTGGAAAACCGTTATTAACAAGCGTTTGTTTCATGTTATTAACTTCTTTCAAGAAAACGAACGAAACTATGAATTCTCGTGCGCTCTCATAAGAAATTTTTTAATATCACCTATTTTCTATCTCAGAGGACATCGACTAGTAAAATTAAGATAGAAAGAGTTTGTTTTTTTTATTTTGGGTTTTTATATAACCTAGTAGGGAATGTATTATTACTAGGCTCCACATATTAAGTTAAAATTAAAATAAAATCCATCCATGATAATTGTTAAAGGTATAGCAGAAATCACTTGGATATGTATTATATAAAAACTATGTATAATTATAAAACATGAAAGATTATATAAAAACTTAAACACCACACCCTGCCAGTCGTTTTTAACGAAAATTGTATAAAAGAGGGTTTGCTTGCTAAATACAGAATATATATATATATATATATATATATATATATATATATATATAAAATACAGGAAAGCATTCTTCTTTGTTAAGAGATCCCTTTCGACCATCATCTCGCAAGGAGAATACATTGGTAAACATTAGTTGACTAAGACAAACGACAATTCGCACTTCGATAAAATATAAGAAAATAAAAAAAGAACGACGATTGAACTACAAATTTATTAATAAAAATGGCAGGGTAGAAAAAAATGGAGGAAATATAAATGCTTCCAATGAGTATAAAACTGAAACATTTTATTTACATGCCTCCTAAAATACCGAGAGATTCGACAAGATGTTCTTTCTATCAGCACTGAGACAGTTGATCTAACTTAATGTAGACCGCTTCTGATAAATGCAAATGCTCAGGGGACCGAGCTCTGCACAAAACAGTGAATGAATCGTCCCTATATTATTCTGCGCATTCTGGATTATCCAATAAATGTCGGTCAATATCCGAATCATGAATGCACTCGGTATCATACATATAGCGATTAAATGCACGCTGTCTTAAATTCGTATGAACATGTTTTCCAATCCGTGTTTCAAGTCGTTGATTGGTTCGTCCAACATAGTCCAACATAGTCAGCCTCGCACTGAGATTTAAATTTATAGACAATAATCTGAAAGAAGGACACATCGAGAGAAAAACCGGATTAATCCCGATGACAACGCGTAACCTACTCTCCGGAAAAACCGATGTGACACAGACACTTTGTTTTTTCCTGCCTAGCCAAGGCAATTTCAAATATACGGGACACTGGATGGAACCAGAAACTATGGGAGCCTTAAAGCATTTAATTTTACGTTCAAACGTGTGCCTGATGACACTCAGGAAACTCATTGTCACAGAAAATTGCTATAAATGTTCTCTATTTGTTGGTCATATTTGAAAGGAATGTATATCATCAACGCGCCGTACACTTTTGAAAGTAGGTTTTCGGTAAACACTGATCATGAACGAATCTTACTTCCTGTCAACCAGTTCGTCCAAAAAGGGCAACGCAAGATCACACTCTACCTCCATAGTTAACTTAAGGGAAGAATGGATACAATTCCGTTGGATGTTCAAGGCCAATCCTCAACAGAATCAATTTCGGAAAAAGAGTCGTCCACATAACGTAACTA